TCCTTATTATATACCGAACAACACTCCCGAACCACGGATATATAGGATCTCACATGAGTTGTCATATGATATAAGATTTTATTAAACGAGCTCAAGAAAATGTTTTACCTACCGGCTCCTTTGTTAAAAGCGGTCTAGTAAATCACTTACCAACCGGTCAACAGGTCTGCAAATAGAGACCGACCGGTTATTGTTCTCTATACAATAGAAAATATGTGAAGTCGAGAAACTCGTGCATTACAGTACACAATATTCACCGTAAAAGAACGCTGAATTGTGGGGGAGGGGGGGGGATAATGACCACTTTGAATAGGAAAAAGGGTCGATATATATTTTAAAGATTAATCGAAATAAATTAGCGTAAACGGCTGTAAGGACCCTCATAACTTATATTCCAGATTATTTGTGAGAAAAACGAACTGGTTACTGTTCTGGCGTTCAAGTTTTGTGTTTCGCCTATATTAATGAGTATAACAACGCACATTAATCCTTTCTTTTGCTTTTCGGTATACCTAACACATTTGCCGAACTATATAGCTTCATAAGATACTAGCTTTCGGTATTTATGTCCACAACTATGTCTGAATTTGCACAATCCTGCATTATTTTAACAATTCTGCATTAAGGGATATATACGACGAGTATATTATTGGTGCATATCGAATCAAAGTCAACTTCTGCATCTTTCTTTCCTAAAATAATACTTTCAGTGAGAGTATAGTTTTTTCTTTCCTAATATAATACTTTCAGTGAGAGTATAGTTCATCTTAAGTATAAGACCGTTTTTCTCATTTTTTTTCCCTAGTTATTTTTACACTACAATTTGGATTTTGTATACCAATACCAAGAATACGACTTGCGCTTCCATTCTAGACCGCGTGCTTATATGCGGTCTTATAACGGATGATGCTAATTAAGAATACACGGAAAGAAAATTCATCAAAACATGGATGAAATTCTAAGAACATTTAAAATCAGCCATCATAAAAAACAACAGCAACAAAACCAAACTTACATGGCGGTGTAACTACATGTATTACTAATATTTATTCATAGAACCCTGTCTTTTACTTTCCTTTGAAAAAATAGTATATTTTAATTATATAAGAAATAGCCTGATCATCTATTTACCATGAAATTCATTATATATAAAGATAAAGTGTTTCCGTTTTTATGATTAGAAAACATTTTTATCTTCCTCCAGTGTTTGTTTATATTATTAATATGTTATGTATTCATATATTGACAATATCAAAATAATGATCTTACCTTTCCCTACTCGACTCATTTTCTGTAACTCAACTCAACAAGTACATGACCTTATTACATAATGAAACCCCACGAAAATCACGAGAATATTCAAATAACACCTGATTTGTGAAACGAATGAATTACAAGAGCGTAGCGGATGGTATCTTTGCTTTGCTTTGGAATGCTTTCTTAAACATGATAAAGTACATAAGTAATATGTTTCTTGTGAGTAATATTAATAAATACTGATGTATGGATAGAAAAACAAAAGAGCATGTAGGTAAGATAGTTACCGCACTCGGAATAGGTCTGCATAGTATTTACAGACCCGGTGGCCTTTTAAAAACCTCGATCGCTACGCTCTCTCGGTCTTCAAATCGCCACCCGGGTCTGTAAATACTATGCAGACCTATTCGTCGTACGGTAACTATTACATATAGCGAGCCTCGGGCGAGCTTTATAACATTTTCTTGAAGGAGTTTAATAAAATATTATATTTTTTGACAACAATGTGAGATTCGTTTTATCACATGACTTAAAACATAAAAATAAAACATATAAAATAAACCCTTTTTACCGCTATGAATACGCACTTTTTTCTATATGGAATGTATTGGCGGAAATGAGTCACGTCAAAGTTATACTACACGTGTTAAATATAAAGAAATTCGTAATGATTATATTACATGAAAAACAAGCGATGTCATGTGATAAAATCAGATCTAGCAAATTCTACGATAATGCTACCAAGACCAGTATCTATATTCACACAAAAGTAAAAACACTCTAGAGGCCACATTTTTATACGAATCTTTATAAAATTTGGTTAGAATGCTAGTTATAATTCGAGTGAGTTTAAAACTGAGTCATGTTAGGTCAAAATTAGAAGTATGTCCGTCCGTCTGTCCGTTTGTCCGTCCGTCCGTCTGTCTGTCTGTCTTCCGGTAATGTCAAACATCCCCGGGGACGTAGACATGGTTGCGCTTCAAAATCGCAAGAAGGTTTAAAGAGTAGTTTAAAAAGATTTAAAAGAATGTTTAAAAGGGTTAACTAGAAATACATTTTGCATGCCCACGGGCAGAATGTCGAGCCCGCTTTGTAGGTTTAAATTTTCACAGAAAGATTCATATTGGACATTTGTGAAGATGAAAGAATGATAATGACCTTGACCTTTGATATTGTGACCCCAAAAACAATAGGGGTCATTTACTAAATATGGGTGATCATCCTATCAGGTTTGGCAGCTGAAGGTTGAACAATAATTAAGTTATTGAGCGGAAACCGTTTTCAGTTTAAAGGTCTATGTAACCTTGAACTTGTTATTTGACATTTGGACTCTAAGTGTGTCCTTGACCTTTGCTACAGTGACCTAAATTTTTTCGTGCAACACACCGCCTTGCCATGGAGAACATTTATGCCAAATTAATATTAAAATCCCTCCATCCATATAGAAGTTATGCTCCGGACACGGATTTTGCGGCGACTCAAGTGTGACCTTGACCGTTGACGAGCGGATCTGGGTGTTGTGCGCGACCACGTCTTCTCATTAAGGTAACATACACCTCAAAGTTATTTTTGAATTCCTTCAAAAAATGAGCGAGATATAGGCCGGACAAATCCGGACGGACGGACGGACGTACGCACATACACCAAACCAAACTGCCAAAAGTGGCGACAAAGTCGAGATCACCGCAAGCGGGCTGTACAACTAAGGCGAGACATGTTCAAATGCTAGATATAGCTTGCACTGAACTGCTCAGTTGTAGGGAGGAGGGCAACAGTAAGTGGTATGTTGTTCCAATGGTACCACAGTCCTGGGGAAGAAAGAAAATTTATGATAATAAGAGGTTGCTGTAATTAACCTGTAACTCAGATCTTTTGCATGAATTGCTTATCCTTTTTGTGCTAAATTGATTCCTAAAACCATTTTTGAATGGTCATCCGAAAAGAAAAAAGGGATAATATTTTTAAGTTATTCATCATTGCTAGTTCATTAGTTTACTGTGTGGGAGTTTAATCACTATAACAACTTTGATGACTACGAAAATGATTCAAACCACTAACAAACACTTTTCACTTATAGTGCACTTACAGTGATTCTGCTTGTATAATTAATAATTATTTGATTTCAAATCGCAGAGAGGTTTATATAGTTGACTCCTAATCCAGTTTGCCTAGATTTGATTCCCAGGCGAGGAAGCTATCGAAGTATGTTACATCAGATCAGGATTAGACGAGTTCTGGTAAGAAGTCCAACGATTACTAGATTGAAATCCAGCCACCCTCGCCCCCTGAAAAAATAGCTAGTTCTGTGATTATAAATATGTTTGATGATTGATATTCAAACAGGCCGTAAATTACAACAAGTAGTTGCGTATTTTGTTGATGGAACGTTCCTATGCAGCCATCGCCCATGTTTTAAATGATAAACTGAGCGCGCACAGTTTGTAATGCCTGTCACCAATACACGACCCTGGTAGGCGTCAACTCACAACGGTGAGGGGCAAGTGATTCTCGGTCGAGACTTTAACCATTTTTTCTTTCCACACAAATAGGCATCGGTAGTGGTAGTCCCTGAAGCTTGGATCAATTCCATCTTACTGCGGTCAAAAAACGTGCAGTATGGACGCATGCACGGACGGTGCCATCACTCCTCCGATGTCTATGGATGAAGATAATTATGTTGTGTAAGTGTACCTTAGATAGGTTGGTCAAGGTTTGGATTGGGGGGGTCCTTATTCTATAGGGGGTCACATTTCTACGTGAGGGGTCATTTTTCTACGTGTGAGGAGTCATAATATAATGACCCCCCAGTCATAATATAATGACCGCGGAGTCAATCCTTTATATAAAATAATGACCGGGGGTCATTATTTTATATAAAATAATGACCGGGGGGTCATTATTCTATGGGGGTCACTTCACAACGTTACACCGGCACGTTCTGCTTCACTGCACAAAATGACTGCCGGAGCAATAAATAGAAAAATCTTGTCCAGCTCTACAGATCATCCACAGGTCTAACTGCTTGCATGATTTAAATGATCACTTCAATACCTAGTTGTGCATATCCCCGGCACCTTTTGCTCCGCTGCACAAAATGGCCGCCAGAACTAAAAGAAAAAGAAAAAAATCTTAACAAATCAAACTGCTGGAATTTCAATGAAACTTAACTTGAATGACCAGTCCCATCCCTAGTTGTGCATATGGCGGGCATGTTTGGCTTTGCTGCAAAAAATTTCATGTGTAAATCCATTAGTACTGACATCTTACTTCAAGTAAGAATGTGGACAAAGTCGTCAATAAAGCGTATTTTTCCTATGCATAATGTACTACGTTAATAATGCAGTAGGCTGTAGCTAATATAAATAGGGGAAGATAATTCATATAACACGGTCACGTATTATATATGTGTCTGTTAAAATCACTGTATCCCGCCGATTTCTTTCAACTATGTAACTATCATGTTGTTGATGAGGAATTTTGAAATATTAGTAAGACGGCAGTTTTTCTGTTATGTTTTGGAGGCATTCTGCTTTAAATTTTTTAATTGTTGCTTTAAACAAAATTAAAAGTATGCCAAGTGTGACTGCCGCCCCTGGGACCATTAGATGTTATTTAACATTTGATTTGAATAACTTTTTTTAATGAAATTGAAAACTAAATGTTTTATGCAGTGCTTTGGTGCTATTGTATTTCTAAATGAAAGTATCGTTTCATTGTGTAGTTTTTAATGCCCGGATTTCAGGATGAGAAAGTTACTTCAGATAAGATACGAAAAAGTCATAGAAAAGGTTAAAGAAAAAGGTGTTAAGGGGTATGAACAATTTAAGCATCTCTTGGAGCTGGCGCGTCAAGAACATTTGGTGAAATATTTGACAAATCAGGAATCTGTCATACAGAAGGAACTTCAGGATGAGACAGCCAAACAAGAGAGAATCAAGAAACAAATTGGTAAATTTGATATAAAACATTTTTATGTACATGTTTCTTTATCCTAATCAATTGTCATTAAATTGAAAAAATGTTTGTTCAAGTTTAAAGTAATATTTTGAATATTTAAAAAGACAATTATTGGGAGACAATAATAAAAACGTATTTGTGATGAAAATTGAAGACCTGTTATATCTGTTGCTATTGATGCTAGCTAATGACATTTCTATATGTGTAGGCTATATAAGCATTTAAATACATACACTTCAAAACAACAAAAACCCACCCCCCACAGAAAATGTAAATGAATTTACCTTTAATTTGTATCAGCGTCCATATTTAGAACATGGCAGAATAATAAAATCTTGAACCTGACAGACATGTTAATCACAATGACGTGATCTGCATAGTGTAGCATTGCCTTGTGAAATTCTACATCATGCCCCTTGGATTAGCATTTGCCTTGCCCTTAGGATCATTTACTTAATAGAGACTTAAATAGGAAAATACATAAAAATAATCTTGTGTAAAAACTAAAATGGTCAAAGCATATATATCTTGTATATATCATTACCAACTGTAACAAAAATAGCTCTGTCTGGAATGGGGGAAGATCATGTACATGCATTTATTCTACGCAAACTGAGGGCCTCTCTGTCTGGTAAGGCACTAAATCGAGTACAGACCCTGGGTATGTCATGGTCATACCCTAAAAGGATAAATTATGATGCACCTATTTTTATTATGCCCCCGCCATAAAATGACTGGGGCTTGCTCAGCAAAACAATATAATTGGAAAAAAACCTAAGATTGTATTAAATGCCCTTTCAAATTTGGTCTTCTGCAAATGCTTACATATCATGTATTATCATTGTATTGGTTTTACATGTGTTAAGCTAAAACTTTCAATCTCTTAACTATATAGTAGATATTATGCAATTAGTAAAACGACTGCAATCATTTATCCCTATTTAGTTTGTATATCACATCTTCATTCCAAATGATTTACAAAATACAGAAATAAAATTAAAATGGATCAGGTTCTTTTTCAGCTGCTCTAGGGAGAAGAGCCGCCACAAATGAGGACTTAAATTACATTTCACAGTGTATTGGTTCAAACTGGGAAATACTAGGACCACCCCTTCTCAAGAATAAATCAACGGTTACAATAGAACATATAAAAGAGGATCACAGATCATGTCAGCAACGTGTGTATAACTTACTTCTAATGTGGCGTCAACAGACTGATGACCAGTCACTGGCTCATTTGTTTCATTTGATGTATAAAGCGGGTACATCTGTCACTATTGATTGGAATGAAATTGCACACAAACTCAAGATTGAAAGAAGGGATATTCAGGCATGTAAGTTCGGTGTTAAGTTTTCAAAAATATTTTTTTAGATGTCAACTTGCTTTTACTTTTTTATGTCACTGTAGCAGCTACGACATGGAACATTGTCTGGGGGACATATATAAAGATGCCCTGCCGAAGGAGACACAGTGGCCTCCTTTCTGATCTTTTGATGTAGAAAAAGTGTTATCCTACAGAAGGATTAATGACAATAAAATAACTTGAAAATTGCATGAAATTCCGGCCATGTGCTCAGTTTGAAATGTAAATGGAATTTTATACATGAAAATATCATGAAATTCCGACCATGAATTGAATTTAAAATTCAGCTGATTCTAGATTTTGACTAAGTGACCATCATTTTTGTCCTTTGATGTACAACCATGAAATTTGTGCACTGTTTAAGATGTAAAAATGACTTTGGTATCAGCTTACCTAGATTGTGATGAAGTGACCTCTTTTGTGATTACAATTCGATCATCGTCCGTCTGTCCGTAAACTTTTACTTGAAACAACATCTCCTCATAAACCACTAAATCAGTTTCGCCCTAACTTCACAGGAATGCTCCTTGGGGGGTCACATTTATGAATTGTTCAAAGAATTCAATTCCATGTAGAACTCTGCTTGCCATGGTAACCGAAAGAAAAACATTCTTTTAAATAACCAAAAAGGCTAGAGCTTAAAATATTTTGCACGAATTATCTTCTAGTTAGTGTCTACCAAGTTTGTTCAAATGAAAGCCTCACTGTCAAAGTTGCCCCAAGCCAGGGGGGGGGGGTCATTAATTTTTTCATATGTATATAGTAAAAACTTAAAAAATCTTCTTTTAAGAAACCCAAATCTAAGATATTAAGCATGAAACATCTTGTAGTGAATGTTAACAGAGTTTGTTTAAATTAAAGCCCTGGAGCCAGAATTAGCCCCATTGGGGGTCATTGGTTTTCCTTCTATATTTATTGTAAAAACTTAAAACATCTTCTATTAAAAATCAAAAATCGCCAGAGTTTAAATATTTAAGATGAAATATCTTATAGTAAATGTCTACCAAGATTGTTTAAAAAAAATCCTGGGGGTCAAAATTGGCCCCGCCCAGGGGGCGTTTATTTTTCTTATATGTTTTAAGAAAAAAATCTTCTGTTTACCGAGTTTGTTTAGATTAAAGCCCTTGAGCCAGAAAACCCAAAATTATCTTCAGCTTAGAAATTAAGCATGAAACATTTTCGAGTGGGTGATTACCAAGTGTGTTCAAATAAAAGCCCCGGACAGTCATTGATTTTTATGCCCCACAATGTGGGAGCATATAGCGTTGCACTTGTCCGTCCGTCCGTCAATCCGTCAGTCAGTCAGTCAGTCAGTCAGTCCGTCCGTCCGTCCGTCCGTACGTCCCGAAATCTTGTGAACGCAACTCCTCTTAAACCGGATGGCAGATTTTGCTTAAACTTACAGGATGAACAACCTTAATGTGTAGATGGTAGTACAGGAAGGAATTTTCGCTGTGACCAAATTTAACAGAATTATGGCCCTTTGTTGATTTTTTCACTAGATACTATGTAGAAATTTTGTGAACGCAACTCCTCTTAAACCTGTTGGCAGATTTTGCTTAAACTTACAGGGATGAACAACCTTAATGTGTGGATGGTAGTAAAGGAAGGAATTTTTGTTGCGACAAAATTTAACAGAATTATGGCCCTTTGTTGATTTTTTTCATTATATACTATGTAGAAATTTTGTGAACGCAACTCCTCTTAAACCGGATGGCAGATTTTGCTTAAACTTACAGGGATAAACAACCTTAAGGTGTAGATGGTAGTAAAGGAAGGAATTTTTGCTGTGACCAAATTTTACAGAATTATGGCCCTTTGATGATTTTTTCACTATATACTTTGATGTAGAAATTATGTGAATGCAACTCCTCTTAAATCGGATGGCAGATTTTGCTTAAACTTCCAGGGATTTACAACCTTAATGTGTAGATGGTAGTAAAGGAAGGAATTTTTGCTGCGACCAAATTTAACAGAATTATGGCCCTTTGTTGATTTTTAGTTTTCAACTTGTGGCACATGGCCCAAAAAATTTTGACCTAGATCAAAAATTTGCAGAAAGTGGCGTGGGGGGGCATCCGTGCCCTATACACTTTTATTTTGATTTTAAGAGTAAAGAAAAAAAATTTCTTTAAAACCCCCAAAGCGCTAGAAAAATTTAAAGCATAACAATGCTAATGTATTCATAAATCGTTCAAATAAAACCCTGGGAAAAATTTTACCCCCCCCGGGGGTTAATTTGATTTTCCTTTTAATATTGTAAAAATTAAAAATTTCTTTCAGAAACCCAAAGTAGAGCTTAATTATGCAAAAAATTTCCATGAGCGCTAAAAAGTTTTTTCAAAAAAAAGCCGGTTTTTGGAATTGTTTTTTTCCCTTAGAAAAAAGAAACCAAAAATTTTTAGACATTACTTTTTAGTTTAAAATATAACTTTTGAATCTTTTTAAAGTTGATTTTGTAATTTTTTTTTTTATAGTGTACAAAATTACTTGTTCATTGTCATGGAGAATTTCTATATTCATATGAGCGATTTCAGGGCCATCGTGGCCCTCTTGTTTATATACAGCTTTCACATTTTAACAGTGTGCTACATTAAAGGTGTAGAACTGAAATTTGATATTAAATGATATTAATCTAGTGATCTACTTCCTTGTGTTTGATGTACAGCTATGAAATTAGGACCATGTATAAACTATAATTAGAAAAATATATTTTGCGTGAAGTATGGTATAGTGACCAACATTGTTCAAATAAACACTAGCTTCCACTACTTTCCTACAAATAACTGTCTGTCTTCCGGTGAGCTCTTTTGGGTCAATGCCCCATTTATTAGATACAGGTATATTTGGGCCATGCCTACAGTTTAAGATTGAAAATAGATGTAGATAAATGCTATAATAGTTCATCTATATTTTGACCTAGTGACCTTCTGAATTCAGTAAATTCTACTGCATTATCACAATTTCATTGATTAGAAACTAAAAATGTAATATTGATACTGTTTGATGTATAATGTACAGTGTGAACTCAACTGTAGGATTTTTTTCACAATTGAAATCTTGTATTTATTTATCATCTGGAGGCCAGTGAATTGAAAGGATTTACAACAAACTATAATATCATAATTATATGACAACGTTTATAAATTTAATATCCATATTTCCAGAATTATCCCCACTTTAATTTAAAATATTCCTCTTTTATTCTACATTTTTCATATTAGCTTACCAGAACCGAAGGTTAAGTGTTATTTGTATCAAAAGGGGATGCTCAAGCATCAATAGTCCGTAATCATGTGTCAACATTCAGCTTCCCTAAAACTGCTGGGCACATTTTCTTCAAACTTGGTCTGTAGCATCCTTGTGACAGTCAGACTTCAATTTCCTCATATCATTTCAGTTGGCCCCTTTTAGGGGTCATCAGAGCTAAAAATAGAAAAAAAACATCTTCTTCTTCTGAATTAGTTGATGGATGATCACAAAACTTTGTCTGTAGCATTTATACGTCTTTAAACAAATTTGCTGATTATAATTTGATTGGTCGCTATAGAGCTGAAAATAAAAAAATAAAATCTTTAAACATCTGCTACTAAAAGAATTGATAGATGAGCAGCTGGTATCCAGCTAGCTGACCTCTCCTGTCATATAACATGACTGTGTTTCATTCCTAATTATAGAATGTTAATTCATTTTTTAGGTAAAGAATATCAACATCAAGAACAAGAAACAAAGCAGCAGCAAGATTCAGGTAATACAATATACTTTGTTCAATACTTTACACGCTTTACTTTTAGCTCACCTGTCACAAGGTGACATGGTGAGCTTTTGTGATCACTTTTCGTCCGGCGTCTGTCGTCCGTCCTTAAACTGTTACTTTAAACGACATTTCCTCATAAACCGCTAAGTCAATTTCATTCAAACTTCGAAGGCATGTTCCGTTGGTAGGTAACTGGGGTAAAAATTGGCCCCGCCATAGGGGGTCATTGATTTTCCTTATTTGTATATAGTAAAAACTTAAAAATCTTCTACTAAAAAAAAACCAAATAGCTAGAGCTGAGATATTAATCAAGAAACATCTTCTAATGGGTGCCTACCAAGTTTGTTTTAAAACAAATCCCTTGGGTCAAAATTAGCTCCGTGCCAGGGGGACATTATTTTTCCCTTTAAATATATATTGAAAACTTAAACTTTTCTTTTGAAAAACCAAAAGAGTTAGAGCTAAGATATTTAGCAAGAACATCTTCTTATGGTTGTCTACTAAGTTTGTTCAAATGTTCATGATGGCCCCCTTATTTATGAATCTTTGAAGATATTATAAAATTATATATATGTATATAAAAATTTTGCGGATACTTCAATAAACGTATACCATTGATCGGTCTTTGAAGTCCTTCTTCATATGACATAAAATCATAATTGTTTGTATATGGTTATATTTTCGTAAAGATGTGAAAAAAATTTCTTTTTATTTAGCGAATGCACTGGTCTGTTTTTAACCCAACTCGGTCATAACATACTCGTGAAATGATAAACCAACTAGTACAATCAGAAAAGGACAAACCCGTAAAAAATCAAAAATTACAAATGCAAAAAAATGTTTGTGCATGAAAGAATTATTGTTTTTTTTTTGTTTTTTTTTTTCAATAGTACTCTCACTACTCTTTATGAAAAATAAACAAATTTGAAATAAGATAATGCTTATTGAATTCACTCAATAATTGTGTGTTTTAATGTCCTGATAGAAAACATTTATATGAAAATAAACAAGGTAAATGTTTTTAGGTCAAGAATACCAAAGTCAAGTACATGCACAAGAAACAAAGCAGCAGCAAGATTCAGGTAACAAATTAATACTTTGTTCAAGCTTTATACATTAATACTTATTCACTGAATGATAACCCATTAATGTTTAAATGATGCTGCTTTTTTGTCTAAATCTAATAAAACCTGTGCATACTATGACATGTTTAATTCTAACTTAGTGACATTATTTCATAAACACTTTAATAACTGAACGTACAAATTCGTGTTCTTAACACCTTGAAATGAAATTTAAATGTATTAAAACTATTGTTCAACACTGACATTGATGTGAACAGGAGACAACACTATAACATTGTCAGTGTTAGAATTTATCGTGTGGACTTGGAAGCTACTAATGGTTTTCATAACAAAACATTCAAAACAGAATTTTGCATCTACTGAAACCTGAAACTTGGCAAGATATGTCAGAATGAATATCATTTCAAATCGAAATATATTTGCTTATCCCAAAACTGTCTTCATCAATTGATTCTTGGCAATTTTGGGACAAATTTCATATATGCGTAGTCAGCACATTAATTTTGTATTTGTGCTCATAACCAAAAATGATTTGCGAAGACAGAGTTATCTTAATTGGTACATGTGCATGACCTTACCTTTCAGTTTTGAAATTGTCAAATCAGTCAATTATTATTCCCGCATTCAATATTGCTTTGCACATATCGGTTGGTATCTGCGTCAAAGGTCAAGGTTATACTGTCCCTGTATATAAATGATTTCCGACCAACAAAATTAACTTCCAATGGACCCTTGACCCTCAAACGTCAAAACAGCATTGGTCTTTGGCGCTTCATGGCCCCTTCTGATTGTTTGTTGGAGGACAGACTCAAAGATCAGGACATGTTGACTTGGTATGCCAAAATTGTTTCCAACTAATTACTCAGCACTAATTGGCTAATTTTCTCTTGTTGTTGTTTTTTTATTTTTTTTTGGGGGGGGGGGGCAACATACGTGTTTATCACCTGTCCGTGCTTCGCATTTTGCCGGGTCCTATTTTTGATTGACGACCTGCTGAACTCCTTTCCTGCGGTCCTGTGTTGATGGGTCATGTGGGGGTTGTGTTTGTCGAACGCCGCCGTTCCTTTTTGATGTTGTTTTGCATTTTTGATACTTTTCATGTAATGATTAAAGTACAATAATCCATCGAAAGAATCTTGAGAGAATATAAAAATTCAAGGAAAATACATTTGATTGCGAAAGGCAACTGACAGAACATATAACAAGGCTGAAAATATTGAAACATGTGACACTTGTCGGCATAAAGTGTCGCAACTGATAGTGTTCTTTTGTTATAATGGAACAAAGGCCTTTTTAAAATCCCTTTACCCCATATAATACTTTAAAAGAAAAGTCTCCTTGTATTTTTACTAGTCTATTTTACCACCTATCCTCTCTTTTGTTTTAGTATGTTTGATATTAATAAAACGTTTTCACTGATTTGCTCATAATGTATTACTTTAAAACAGACTTAAACAGACGTTCAACTTCTTCATTTGTTGATTCCAAAAAGTCTCTAAAGGATTCCTGTATATTTGATGGTCGATTGATGCTACTTGATAGCAACCAGGTCAATGATTTGGAAGCTTCATTAGATAAAGAGCCTATAGGACGAGGTAGAATTGGTTTTGTGTATCGTAGCAGTAAGTATATGCATATTTTTATTTTAGAGCCTTTGCTACATTAATACGAGGGGTGCGCAATATGTAAAAAAAAGCAAATACTGTACCAGGAAACTTTATTTTTGTTATTTCCTTCAAAATACTCTCCTTTGTGAGAAACACTACAACTTCAGCCTTTTCAGCCACATTTGAAATGCATTTTCAAAGTCCTTTTTCGGATCCTACGGCACTACTGACCTGAAAGCTTCCTTTTAAGTCTTGGAAAGAGAAAAAAGTCAGCAGGAGCAAGGATAGGAGAATACGGGGGAATGAGGAAGGATTTGCACTTACTCTTTTGCCAAAAAAAACCCTTCACAATCGTTGAGGTATGTGCTGGTGTGTTGTCATAAAGAAAACAAACACCCCTGAGTCCAGTAGCTGGGCGACGTTTACGATGGGAATTTTCGCAACATTTTCAAAACTTTTTGTTTGTACAACCTTCCTCTCACAGACCGCCCACCTTGGCACTGAAACTTGAATTAAAATGCCACTGATGTCGAAAAATACTGCTACCATAACTTTTTTGACACTCAGTGTCCTTTTTGCAATTGTTGGCCTTCGAGCGTTTCTGGTGGCCTTCATTTTATTGTCTACCTTTTTGTGTGGCTTAAAAAAATGTACCAATTTTATTTTTCATTACCGTTATAACATTATTAAAACGCTGACGGACAGTTTTAACAAAATCTTGGCACATCTCATACGTTCCTTTTTTTTCATTGGTGATCATCTTGCAGTGATGTGGCTCATTCCTAGTTTTTATTTCAGAATTGTATGCACTGACCTTTCTGATATCCCAACCATCTTAGCTATGTCAGGAGAAGTGTGTTTAGTATCCGTTTCTAAAATTTCACTGCCATTTTAAGTGTTTTTAGGGGTCACCTCAGTTGGTGTTCTTCCAGATCTTACCGCCTCTTTGATAGACTCAACACCAGTTTGAAACTTAGCAATCCAGTTTCTAAGAAGTCTATAGGAAACTTCACTATCTCCATAAACTTGACAAATTTTATTGTAAATTGTTTTCGGTTCAATTCCAAGATGATGACACACTTTGATATAACTCCGAATTTCAGAGGAATGCAAAGATCGTTTCCCAACCATTATATTACATAAATGGGTATGTCCTCAATATTTTAAATCGCATGTATATCAACTTAAACACATTGGAATGAGATAAACCGGGTATGTATGTATGTATGTATGTATGTATGTATAGCTTATGCATTGAAGCGTACGATAAGTAAAATTTCATGAGAATTTGATGCAGAAATTTAAAACAATCTGTTACTGGACGAGATTTGCACACCCCTCAGATTTATTTTTTGATGATCTTGGCTTTATATATTAACATTCAAGAATACTGAGTAAGTTTTAGTTGTTTCTAGGTCGACTTTTTTAAATAAGAAAATAGAGGTATTATTACAGTCATGACAGCATTTAAACAATGCCGTTGCCGTCAAAACTTTACCTTGATCATTACTTTTTAAGTTTTTGGTGTATTGTCTTAGTACTTGGCCACAACAACCCTAAGAAGACCAGGCTTACCATGACCTTCATTAATAAATGACCTTGACCTTCATGGTTAAATGTCTAAATTTTGCCTATCTTTTGCTGACTTTTGCTATAAGTGGCTTTTACTTTTATTTTAATGTATTGTTTTCAAACATGAACATAATAATTTTTAGTATAGACGTTAAGGCTTATCGGACAGACCTTGACCTTCACTCATCTATGACATTGAAGGTCAAATTATTGAAATTTTCATATTTGCTGTAACTGGCAATAACTTTGTTATTAACTAAGTAATTTATTTCATATTGTAACACAACATTCTTTAGGATAAGACCTTGATGTATATTAAACTTAAATTGAACTTAGCTCTTTTATATCATTGACCTTGTAGGTTAAATTATTTAATTTTCTCTGATATTTGTTATCATGATTGTAACTTGATACAGGGTCTTTCAAATAGAATGGTTCGGAAACGAGCTATGTAAACCATTCTCGCTACAATTAAACATGTCTCGGCAGAACTTGGCATAGTTTCCTATACGCAAATTAGGTAAATGTTTAAGAAAAGGGCAAAAATTAAATACAAAAAAGAAAATTATAATGAAATGATGATGTTCAAAAATCTTTAAATTTGTGAAAAAAGGATAAATATTTCAAAAAATAATGTTTTTAAAGCCATTTCTGTTGAAACAACAAAGATTGCTTGTTCAGAAATTTGCCTATTTACGGTGCCATTTTGAAAATTCACCAAATAAAACATCAAATATTTGTAAATGATGTCGTAAAGCATTTTAAACTTTTCACATGAAACGATTAAATAAAATATTCTCTCTATAAAATCAATTTTTTTTCCATCAATGCATAAATTTAAAAAAGCTTATAAAACTCGGACCTATTTTCAAATATGAGCAGAAAATTTTTACCTTGACACCAGGAATAAAAAAATTCATAATTTCATTGCAAATCTATAAAATTGTTACTTTTTAAAGTAAAAACTAACAATGTCATGTAACCAGGATTACATATCAGTACTTTTTTTTGATTGATAGATTTAACAAAACATTATCTTATAATTTGATTTTTTAATGGTCATGTACTTTGCCAGATCGCCGTTGGTAAATAACCTATTCACGTGATTCAACCGAGGCATCTGTTTTCGTAAAATTGATCCGACTTCAGGCCATTCTATTTGAACGACCCTGCTTGATATATAGTTAAAAAATGGATCATTTTCATACTTTGACAAAACAACCTTTCGGACAAGACCTTCTGAAAGGTTTAACTGACCTTGACCTTTAACTTTAAATAACCTTGCCCGTCAAGGTAAATTTATTGAATTTTTGTTAAATTGGCATAATATTGTTTTTTTATTTAATGATTTTATTTACATGTGGACAAAACAAGACTTGCTACCATAATCACCATCATGAGGAAACATGTAGCCTCATGATGGGGATTATTTTTGCCAAGTTATTTAAAAATCTTCCATAAAATCAAAAGGTTATAGAAAACATATAACCTTGACCTCGGGAGTAGCAACATGGATGTCACTTTGAGATAGCAATCTGGCTGTTGTGCTCTGCAGATTATTCATGGTTGGGATCATTTGTGCCAAGTAATTTTAAGACCTTTGAATTGTCAATAAGTGAAAAAGCAGACTTGAAAAATAGATGTCTAAACATTGGATTTTGTGTTTGACCCTGACCTTGAGGGTAGTAACTTTATTGTTCTGCTCTGCACATGATGTCATAATGTGATCATTTCTGCCAAGTCAAGTAATCTTAAGAACGTTGCAGAGGTTTAAATGTTATGGAGCGGACACATAATGTAGACTTTTTTAACACTTGACCATTAAATATGACCTTGACCTAGGGGGGGGGGAGCAAACCAATTATTGCACTCTGAACATCTCAACTCATCATGGTAGTCGCTTGTGCCAAGTTCATTTAAAAACATTTTCAGCAGTTAAAAATTTATGGAGCAGACACGAAATTTAGACCTTTTAACACTTGACCTTTATGTTCGACCTTGACGTTTTGGGTAGCAACCAAATTATTGTGCTCTGCTCAACATCTCATAATGGTGATCACTTGTGCCAACTTATGAAAAAGTTTCATCGGTTTAAAATTATTGTGCAAAAAAATAGAGTGAAATAAGAATCCCCAAAGAAAGGCCAACGCGGCAAAATTGAAAAAGTTGCAGGCTCGGTTTGATTGAGCCTGTTCATGAACGGTACTGTCAAGTGCGAACTACCGTCCATACCCCCTAGCACCGGAATAAGCAGAATTCAACATTTTATATGAACTGGTAAAAGTGAGAAACATCCACAGATGTGTTCATATGGCGGTTATCTTGGAACCTTCAATTTGATACGTTAGTGTCATTCTATTAAAAGCGGCATATGGTCCCCAAGTAAAAAATATGCGTGTGCCCTAAACGAGAAAACAATGGGCGGAACTAAATAAAATGGAATTTTGAAAGGGGATCTGAGGTTATGAAGCCTGCATATCACATATATTACGTCAAAAGACAAACTTAAAAAGCAGGCCTCATATCCTTGGGCTGATTCAACAGTATTCAAGAGTGGAATTCTGGAACCACCCAACCACCCAACAAAAAAGATGCCGAATAGATAGAACTAAAATACCACAAGTCAACAATAATGTCGTGCTGAACGATCTTTAAGGATCGGAAATAATAACATCCAAAGTTACATCTAGATTTTTCCAAAAGTTTGTTTGGTAGCAAGTCTTGTTTTGTCCACATATCATAAATGAAATCATTAAATAAAAAACAATATTATGACAAATTTATGGCATGGCACAACATCAAGGTCATGGTTTGTTTAAGTCAAGAAGTACACATTCATTTCCGATTCGGAAAGCATTAAGCTGTGCTTCAAACGGCTTGTGTGTTTTTTCAACTTTTTTTGGAAAGTTTGTTTGTTTAAAGCCTTAAAACATATCATTCAGGCAAAAGTTCAGATTAGTTGCTGTATTGATATTTAGCACTATTTAAAAGAGGGTATCGTTTTAATCATTGTGAACCAGATGTTCCTGTTGCTGTTGCCGTCCACAAGCTTGGTCATAGCTTTTTAAATTCTTAGTGTATTTTCTTCATGTTTGGCGACAAGAACTCTTTGGACATGACCTTTAAGCACACCAGACTAAGCTTGCCCTTCGTTCAAAAATGACCATGACTTTAAAGTCAACTTGATTTTTGCTGATCTTTGCTATTAGATGCTTTAACCTGGTTATTTCTTTAATTGGTTGATTTGCAAACTTTAACAAAATAATATTTTAGGTGAACCATACAAACATTATTGAATTTCCGTTAAGTTTTCATAATTTTGTTGCTTATTTAATGATCATATTTATACATAAATGACATAAAAACACTTGTGCCATTACAAACATGTTGAATGATTTAGATATGACATTGACCTTTCAATGGCGTTAACTGTCAAATTGTTGAATTCTACTTAATAATGTTTTCAGACCATTGTCATTAATTTATGAAATATTTATTCATACTAAGACAAAACAAGAAGCGTTACTAGACAGACATATTGAAATTTAAAAAAAACACATAATAACTTTGTTTAAACTGTTTATATGTTTGCTTTTAGTACAAGTAAAAATAGTCAAGCATTGCCACCTGCCTGGTGGTGGCTCTTGTTGATACGTTCTTTCTGTATTTGTACAGACAATCCGGACATATTTGGCATCCCTGTGGTCGTGAAGAAGATAAATACAAAGGGTGATTCGAAAATTGAAAGCCAAGTCAGAAGGGTAATTTCATTATTTTTTTTTAGCATAACTAATAATTTATACGTACAGTTTATGTATTTAACGTAAACAACATTTTGAACCGATATCTTTAATGTGGCTAAAATAACGAAACTTGTTGAAATATATATTGAAATATATTGATGACAAAACAGGTTTACTAAAGAAGATTGAAACTGATTAAAGAAATTCTTTTATTTTAGGAGAAAATTGCGTGTAGACTGATGAACCCATTTATACTCCCACTTCTAGCTGTTGTTGAGAAGTCAAATGAGACAAATGAGTAAGCTGAAAATTAATGTTTAGTATTTGTTTAATGTTTGACAAGGCTCTGCTCTTTCATCGCCTGCCAGTATTGCGATAGGAGTATCTCTATAATATCTGTCCTCACATCTAATATACTGTTCGTCCAGTTTTGTATCCAGATTTTTACATTTTTATGCTCCCCGAAAGGAGAGCATAAAGTTGCTGCCTTGTCTGTCTGTCCGTGCTATGTAAGAGATGTAGGGGGCCATGTAGCTGTAAACAGAACATAGGAGAACAATAAACTTAAATCCGTAACAATAGAATAAGGGACCATGGCACTCTATTAAACAAAAGAAAATAACAAAGGGATTGACCCCTTAGTCCATTTAATTTGCATGTCCGTCCGTCTGTCATTTTATCGTACAAACTCAGAGGTAACTGTAAATTCTCTTTGATCCTATTCATTCCGTTTTTACTAGTGTGTCTTTTTTAAGCCTTGTGTGACTAAAATGTCTAAAAGTTACATAAGTACCATTTCGTAAGTACGTCCGTCCGTCCGTCCGTCCAGCCATTGTCTTGTCCAGAACATAACTTGAAAACACTTGGAGATAATTTGTTTAAACTTCACAAGTATTAGGGGACATTGAGGCAGAGAGAGTGTCGAAGAATAACTATATTTTGCCTCGTTTTTGAATAATCTCCCTTTTAAGAAAAAAATTGTCCGGGACATAACTCTTAAACTTTAAGAGATATCAACATGAAACTTTGTAGGTAGATATATCTAAATGGGTAGCTTTGCAGTGTATAAGAACCGTAACTCTGAAACTTTGTAGGTAGATAGATCTCATTGGGTGGATGTGCAGTGCAAAAGAACCATAACTCTGCTCAGCCCTGTTTTTTGAATTATCACCCCTTTTAGCAAAATCTTGTCAGGGACATTACTCTAAATATATAAGAGATATCAGCATGAAACTTTGTAGGTAGATAGATCTCAAAGGGTAGCTGTGCAGTGGATAGGAACTGTTACTCTGCCATGCCTAATTTTGGAGTTATTGCCCTTTAATTATCTTTACACTTTGAACTTTTCCAGAGCATTACTCTAAAATTATAAGAGATATCAACATGAAACTTTGTAGGTAGATAGATCTCATTGGGTACAAGTGCATTTCAAAAGAACCTCGTTTTTGAATTATCTCCCCTTATATGAAAAATCTTGTCCGAGACATAACTCGATAATTATAAGAGATATCAACATGAAGCTTTGTAGGTAGATAGATCTCAATGAGTTAATGCAGTGCAGTGCTTTGATAAATATATTGCCCTTTAATTATTTTACACTTTGAACTTTGTCCGTGATATTTATCTAAAATTATCAGGGATATCAACATAAAACTGTGTAGGTTAAGAGATCTTGTTTAGTAGAAGTGCATTACAAAAGAACCATAGCTATAGTTAGCCCTGTAACTGAATTATCTCTCCTTTTAGAAAAAATCTTGTCGGAGACATATCTATAATTATAAGAGATTTCAACATGAAACTTTGTAGGTACATAAATCTCAAATAGTAGATGTGCAGTGCACAAGAAACATATCTCAGCCTTGCCTTATTTTAGAGTTATTGCCCTTTGTTCATTTTAGCGATTCACCTGTGTATGTGTGTACGTGCGTGCGTGCGTGCGTGTGTGTGTGTGTGTTATATAGATAATATAACGAACGTAAAAACTCTTCTTGTGAAAAACCTCTAGTCCAATTTAAATCAAACTTGGCAGGATTGTTACCTGCCTAGGAGAAGGGCTTCAAAGTTGTTCAAAGAATTTGATTCCATGCAGAAATCTGGTTTAGTTTAATAATATTTTATTGTATATTTTGTACATGATAAATTTACACAATCTAACATCATATCTTAAGCACAAATATAATTTACATACAAAAGCGTTGGACCAAAAGTTATACCAACATTATTTAGGGTCCTCCCCTAAAGGTTTATCTTGTTGGCTTAATGGTAACATAGTTAGAAACTGTGGATTTTAGAAATTCTGAGATATTTATATGATAAGCGATATTAGTTTCGTGTATTTTAACTTGTAAAAAAGAAATCGCTTAACCAAAAAAATACAAAGAAAATTACAAAATGACTGAGATAAAATGGAAAAAAAAATATGCCATTAACAATTTGCCACTAGAATAAACGCACAAGACCTTGATTTGCAGCAGTATTTTAGTAAACTAAATATGGAAATAAATATAGTACATGTGTAAACAAAGTTCTTCTACTACTTTTGATGAAATTGTGCACTTCTTGAAATAGTATGTTTTCGGCTTCTGCAAGTCCATCAATACCGTGTAATAATTTCTTACTACTGAGAGGATGAAATGACCTGGTATTCAAAAAAGTATATACTGTAAAACACTTATTATTCGCGAGAAATTTATTTTAGCTAATATTCGCGAGTTTTCTAAGACGCGAATTCATATTTCTCGCGAATATTTCACTTTGTCTATACACTTGTCCGAAAATGAACACTATCTGAAAATGCGTACACATGGATATAAGTATCGAAGCCAGTTCTAGTTACATCATAAAGCTATTCAAGTATGCAGCATATACATATCGTACAGATTACTAGTATGAAATATTTACCTGTAAATTAAATTTTGGTACAAATACTTTAGCACCTGCGTGTTGTTTGTAACATTTCTATTTATTGTATCCTATTGTATTGTACTACAGTTTAAGCCGGAGGGTAAACATAATCGTTTACTACAGGTTAAGCAAATTACAGTACCGTTTAATTGATATCAGTGAAACTTTAACACTTTGCGGATAAATACGAAACATTCAATACTAGTATTACTAGTAACAATGCTAGAGGCACGGAGTATAATCAGGGACAATACATGACAAACACAGTGAACACATGTCAAATAAATATCAAACTTTATTGACATATTTTTAGACAGACGGTTTTACTTAACAAGAAGATTAGCAAGCTATCAGAAAAATCGATACAGATATAAATGCATTTGTCGCACAATAAACGACGCAAAGTTAGTGAACGGACAGGACAGAAAATATCCGAATGACATCGGGTTTCCGGTTTCACATTTTTCGGGAAGACGCGAATTCATGTTGACGCGAAATAATTATTTTGGACATTTTGCCTCAAATTCGCGAAATAAGGTTCTCGCGAAAAATAAGTGTTTTACAGTATATCACTGCGAAAAATATACTGATATACGGGAATATACCTTCCCGTATTTATGACATATACGGGCGTGTACGGGATGTATTTGTCGAATATACGGACCAAGTATACGAGTCCGTATAGGGAACACCGGGTATACGGGAAGTCCGTATATGCATCAGGCATGTACGGAATTCCGTATTTGCCCCATATACATGTACGTATATTTGTTCGTATTTTTGAACTATACGGAGAATAAAATCCCGTATACGGACTTTATCACGGTTCTTATTCCTAGTATACTATAAATATACCAAGGATATACGAAACCATTTTTTTCTACATACATAGAGTATATACGGAATCGTATTTTCTACGTATACAGAGGATATACGGAACCGTATATTCTACATATACATATGATATACGGATCCGTATTTTCTACATATACAGAGGATATACGGAATCGTATTTTCTACGTATACAGAGGATTTACGGAACCCTATATTCTACATATACAGAGGATATACGGAATCGTATTTTCTACATATACAGATGATATACGGAGTCGTATTTTCTACATATACAAAAGATATACGGAATCGCATTTTCTACATATACAGAGGATATACAAAATCGTATTTTCGATATATACAGGGGATATACGGAATTGTATTTTTTGAGTTGTACACAGGGTATACAGAGCTTTTTTTCGAGATAAAAGAGGGTACAGATAACATCAAAAGCATGCATTTACATATAAGTGACATGTATGCATGACCGAAATGCAGGCTTATACAATAGAACATGTTTGATTACACATTGTGAATGGAAACTGTAAATTCATATGCTTCAAAACTTTATCTTCACATTTGGGGTATTTTAAATAATGAAGTAAAATCCAAATCAAGTCACTCTTTAATATTTATTATTTCATAAACATATATTCAATATGTATACATATATTAAACAAAATAAACATGGCTTTGCTACAACAGTCATATATAGATCGAATTATACATGTACATTTTTTGATATTTTCAAGCCGTAACCTTTTTGAATTGCATGTTGTTTAAATCTAGAACTAACTATACGAACTTGAAGTTCTTTTCTCTTTATCTTAACAATGATTTATATGAGCCACTTATATTACACCCATCAAACAGTTTAAAGATAAAAATATCATTTGCTCGTATTAACATTCACATATTATTTTAGGAAAAGGAGTCAATAGCACAAATTGATTATTAAGGAAAGTTTTAATAATAATCATTAAAAGCAAAGATCCGTATCCACAAAAATTCGTCATTCAAACACTGTCCTTAAAAGCACTTAAATATATCAATCCTCTATAGGAATGTTACGTAGACCAGTGTGACGGTGTCCATTTCGTGACGTAGGAAATGTTTTCTCCAGATTTTACCACCTTCTTTGTCATGTGTGTATCTGAAAAAAAACGAGTTTAAAATTTTGTTTAAAATAGTGTCATGAAATAGTTTTCACCACTTTCAAAAGACTATACATAAGCATTTAATTAAGCGTATACATATATACAATTTTTATAAGCGACCATTTACACAGGATTTAAATAAAATGATAATTTTTGACGGATAAGTTATATTTTTTGCTATAAAATTTTCGAATATATTTATTTCTACGTGTAATATAATGGTATCTTTGTTCTATTTAAAGAGTATTTTATTGATTAATATTAGTAAATGGTCGCTTATAAATGACATATTTATACTAATAATATAAAATAATTTTGAAATTTGCGTAAGTAAAAAAAGTTTGTTAACTTTAGTGTACATGTACAAAAGAAAATGTAACGTCACTCTCACATTATCATATGGAAGGGTATTAACGCAAAAA